TAGGCAGTCAGTGCTTCTCATCACCAGGGCACTAGGCCCCTTGAATCTTGCCACCATCATCCGTAGCTGCCACCTGGTAGCCTAGGATGGCTGGTTGACCTTGCCTGTCACAAGGAGGAGGAGATGGACCTTTTCTCTCTCTCCCAGCCCCCTTTAAGGACACATATGTGCAGGTAGTGCTTTCCCTGGGAGGGACATTGGCTGAAACAGTGTCACATGGCCACACCTGGCTCCAGGAGAGGAAGGCAGCATCACCTGGTGTACCTGGCCAAAAGATGACTTCTCATTACTCAGGTTGAAGGAGAGAGAGGATCATTAAGAAGCAAACAGCAATTTCCATTGAAGTTAGAGAATTTTAAGTTTTATCAGTTTTTAAGAGGCTTAAGGTATCATTTGAGAGGTTAAAGGACCTCAGTGATATTCTTAATGATACTCAATTCTTGAGAGATTTGGGGCGAGGATAAGTTAGGGATACTGTATGAAAACGTGCATTATAGTTTTATTTTAAAGTTGTTTTTGGTTGCCTTTTTTGCTGGGGCTTTAAGTTTATGAGAGTTATGTCCACAAAGTATTAATTAGTTAAAGCCAACAGACAAGGTCTGTATCTTCTCAGAAGTAGTGCGGAAGGAGAGATAAGTTTATACTTGGCCTGAGAATTCACTTATAAGAAGCTTAATGTATGTAAATAAAGCTATTCAAGCCTCAGGCCTCCCAAGGCCTGCTGTGTCATGGGTTTTGGGCGTGAACGCATGTGTGCGCAGGACAAGGCCCCCAGGCTAGGAGTAGCTAGGCGGACCGAGTGCGCTCTAGAAAGATCCATCGGGGAGCTGGTGCGGGGTATGGACTGCTGGGCGGCACCTCTTCCCCCTGATGCGGGGAGCGGCGCCTGCTGCCTGGACCATCGACGGCGAGTGTGGTCAGGGGAGCCGGGAGGATGGCGCAGTCATGGGAGGGGGCAGAGCTCCGAAGTTGGACAGAAGGGAAAGAGCAAGACAGCCTCATCAGCCAGCAGTGGTCTGAACGTTTCATTAGAAGGACAGAGGTAAATTAAACGTTAACTCAGAAAATTCTGGTTTAAAATTGATCACAAATACAGTTTTAAGCCCCAGACACCCCAGATCTCAACGAGTAACTTTCTGGGCTCTCTCATGGTGCTGTCTCATGGTGCCTGTCACGCGCTTGCACAGCTCGCATCAGGGTCTCACCCGAGGAAGAGACCGCAGGGCGGTGACTCCCCTCTCCCCCTCCCCCACCCATATCTAAGGTGATGCCCAGTGTGGGGAAGCGGGGGAGTACAACAGGCTTGCTTTCTTTGAAGCTTCAAATCAGAGTGAGTTGCATCTTAGAGAAAAGTCGGAGGAAGAGTTACTGGGAGATCTGCTTCCGTGCATGGGCAGCCCCAGCCCAGGCTCCTGTCTGGCCCCCACTTCCTCCTGCGGGATCCGCGGTGGTCTTGCTGAGCGGGCCCCCCGGAGTCCCGGGCAGTCGTGGGTGTCCCTGTGGGGCTGTGTGGCCGGGCCCACCGCCCTCTCTGAGGAGCCCCGGGGGCCAGGGAGCCGAGGCCGAGATTTTCTTGCTGTAAGCCCACGCCACCACTGCAGGTCCTAGGCTGTGAAGTGTCCTGTCCGCCCAGCCAGCGCGGGTGCCCTTAGCCCCCATGGCTCTGAGCACCTGAAGTGGAGCCGGTGCAGCTGGGAACTAGATTGTTAACTGAATCTTAGCTAATTTAAGTGTGAATCCTTCATGGGGCTACTCTTGTGGACAGTGCGTTCTCACCTAATATTAGTATCTCGTTAACTGCACGTGTGGGTTAAGAAGGTTCCTTTGGGCTCACGTGGGAAATCTGACAGCCTGATACTGGGGTTTGGGAATTGGGGGGTGGCTGTGTCCTAAAAGTTTCATGAAAGCTAGTTTTAGTCAAATGAGTTTACCTGTATTTAGGATCTACCCTTTGATAATTATTTACATAGTAAAGAATTGCCTCATTATAAAGGCCAGTAGTTTTATTTTGTTTGTGCGACATCAGTAGTGTTTACTGTTTTGTTCATCTTACCTCACGGCTGTACAGACTTTGGGTTCAAGTGAGTTTTATGTCACATAAAGCTGAGAGCTAGCCTGCTGCCCATCAGACAGCTCCTCGTAAGCCAGTGCCCGACACGGGCTGGAGGGAGGTGGCCACGTGTGAAATGGGACAGCCTCTGTGGCCCTGCCAGGCTTCTTGGAGAGTGCTGAATGCAGATGTCTCAGGAGGCTTTCCCTAAAACCGTGAGCGCAGCGCCTGAGCTGTTTCCCAGTGTCCTCCACCGCCAAGCCTCGTAGATGGGCTTCTTGGTAAAGTTAAATCAGAATGTGTGGAGCGGGGTGGTGGTGGTATGGAATTCTCCCAGCGATTCTGTGTACTTTATCCTCATTTTTATTTTCTCACTTGCCATGTGTCCCATTTTAAAGGGTTCTAATGTATGGGCAGGTGTTACAGACTCATTATTACTCAAAAGTAGTTGGAAAAACTAAACTGCATACTTGCTAAACATTAGTTGGCCTTAGCTTTTTTTTCCTTAAATGGAGTTGTTCTCACCTTGGAAGTAAAAGTAACACCTAGTAATAGGCTTTATTTTCACACAGAAAAATTCAACCCCCTTGGTCCATCTTTAATTTTTCCATTTGTGACAAAAATGAGTATGATAAATTTTCTACTTTCCATTGGACTCTAAGAAAAATACTGGGTTGGCCAAAATGTTCGTTTGGGTTTTCTGTAATATCTTATGGAAAAACCCGAACGAACTTTTTGGCCAACTGATAGCCGCAGAGCTGTGTTGAGTAGTGGCAGCTGATGGTCTCACCGTGGGGAAGAGGGCATCCCTGGCCCTGGTGTTCCCTGCCCCCCATCCAAAGACTTCCGTGGCCAGCTGCCTCCTTGAGATCTCCACCAGGAGGTCTTGTGCACCCTGCTCGACCCCTCTCCAGAAGCAGAAGTCCCAGGAGGCACGCCTGGGCCCCCGGCCTTCCTCTTCCTGGTGCCTCGGCCTTCCCTTGTCACCTTTCATTCAGCGCTGCTGGCTCTGCGTCCAGAGCATCCCTGAGCCTCTGCTGCCCACCCTCCCTCCCACCACCCTCCTCCGGGCTCCCAGCAGAGCCTCCCTCATACCTGCCTTCCAGCCTGTGTCCTCCCCTCCTCCCTACAGCACGTCTGCTCTTGGCACCATCAGGTCACGCCTCCCTCTGCTCATGATGACGGCTAGTCAGGCCTGTAGACCAGACTCTCGCCAGACAGGAGGGGCATCCCGGGTGCTTCCGGGGGAAGGGGAACTACCCGTGTAGAGTTCTAGGGACTTAACACATTCTCACTGTCTCCTCAGCACCGCCGTTGGCAGCAGGGATTAGCATCCCTATTTTACACGTGGGTCACTGAGGTTGACAGGAATGAAGGCATAGCCAAATCCTCCTGCGGCAAAGCCAGGATTCCAGTGCAGGGCTCCCTCTGTGAAAATAAGTTCTTTATATTATGGAACAGCTGCCTGCAAAGGCAGATAGGGAAGAAAGTGCTCAGGAATAATGCCTCTAAGATTCTAGGGTGTTGGTTTATCTTTTATGTGCTCATTTTGCTACTTCCCATAGTGATTAGCACCCAAATCCTTAAAATGCAAAGTTCCTGTCTTTTTAGGAGGCAACAAAAAGTGGAAGAACTTGGGTGGACACTTTTCCCTGTTCATATCTGAAAAGATAAGGAAGGGAAGTTATAAACAAAAGTGGTTAGAAAAATAAATGGAAAGCCAGGAGTTACATGAACTTGCTGATAAGTAAATCCAGAAAACAGTGTGTCATAGGAGCTGAGGAGGGACTGTGTACGGGAGCAGTGAGCAGCGTCATCCTCATCACCACAGAGCGAAAACGAATATGAGAACTGAGACCAGGAGTTAGCAAGGAGTTCGTCGGTTTAGGTACCAACTAGTAGAGTATGGAATAGGGGATTAAAATGTTCGGATCTAGAGTCAACCATATAAACTCTGACATGTTTTCTATGGTTTCATTGGTAATACTTGCTAACTTACAATTACGTGTGAAGAAGTCATCCCTGCTTTATTTTTTTAATATACTTTATGTTCATTTTATTTTTTTATGTAATCCTGAAAAGGTACCTTTATTTCGCTTTTCTCCTTCTTGATCCTTTCATATTTTCCATGTGTCTCCTGATAATCTTTCATGTCTAGAGGCTTTATTTCATCTTACTAGCGCACGATTGCCCTCTAGTGGCCAAAAGCCTGGCTCACTTAGTACCCAAAGTAAGTAGAAAATGAGAGTGAGCCGTTCTTTCCATCGGTTTTCTTGGCCGGAATGCTTTGAGGCTCTTGTTACTAACGATTGATTTTGTAGCTTGGTCTAAAGAAAATGACTGGGATTTTCAGCATTTCCACACATTCAGCTTTTTGACCTTAGACCACTCACTTAATTTCTCTTTTTTTGTTTTGTTTCCTGTGTGAAACTGAGATTATAAACATTGATTAATGTTAATCAAAAAGTTTATTTTTAAAAACAGTCAACCTTTAGGATTAATCTAAGGTATTTAAGCTTCCCTGCTATATCCCAGATCTTTCCCTAATCAGGCCAGTCTACTTTCTATACAAATACAGTGCGTTACCCAGTTGGAATCGAGGTTTATAAGGCTAACCTTCAAACAATGCTCAAAGAAGAACAGTTTGTTTACTGTTGTAATTTACAAAGAGGCAATATTTTAGAGGGTTTGCAATAGTAAGGCTTAAAAAAAAAAGACTTTCTACCTAAACCAGCTTGTATCGGTGTTTCCTGCACAGATCTAGAAAATTACTTGTCCCACCTGTTCCATGACTGTGCGGGTACATTGGAGCTTTATTATACTTATTTCCTTCTAGAATAACATGTGGAAGGGTAAATAATTTAAACTGCTTTTATGTTCCTGCGACAATGTCGTGTTATTCATCGATTTGGTGGTGTTATTTGTTAATACACTTCTTTTTGTATTTCAGAAAAGATGTTGGTTTGAAGCGATTTTTTCCTAGGAGTTTACTGGACTCAGTCAAGGTAATTAGTCTGCTTTATCGTAATAGGCGACCGCGTTAGGCGGACCCCTCCCCCGTGGTATGCGGTTTTCTCCTTTACGTGTAGAAGTCTTAATATAAAAAGCTGACAGTTATTCTAGTCATACTGATGGCAAGCAGATTTTTAAAGGTGTAGCATCCTGCCAGAAAACCATGGTCTCGCTTCTTGGTTGTGAGCGCATCCGGCCAAGTACAACACCAAGAAGGTTGCGTTCACAGCGGTCCTCGTCGCCTAAGTCTTTACGGTCTTGGGTATTTTGACACACGAAAGTAAAGAAGCGGCACGCAAAAGAGCCATAGTGGCAGCTGTAGCGTGTGTGCGCGCATGCGTGCGCGTGCACGCGTAGAAGTGTGTTCTGGAGGTCTGTCTGCTCTCGTTTCGACCAAGGGCACTCCTCCCCGTTAGTAACTCTTGCAGGACACCAGTTCCTGTCTCTGCCTGTAGCTCCCACTGCAGGGGAGGGGACACCGGGGACCCGAGGTGTGGTTCCCCAGCCCATCCAGAACATGGTCCAGTGTGGTGTGAGGACGCAGCTTTGGATCAAGGTAGAGTCCAGCTCAGCTGAGCTCTGCCATTTCCTAGCCTCATGGTTTTGGACCTGGTTTCTTATTTCCACAACGAAGAAAATAATATTTTGTAGGGTTGGTGTGGCTGTTCAGCAGATCGGTGTGTGTATGTGTATAAACTGCTACCACAAGTACCTGTCACAGTGCAGTTTATAGACTGTGGCTGTTACTGCTCTGACTTTCTATCACAGAGGACATGTTCCACACTAGAGCAGCCATGTGGAAGACCATCCCACTCACTGAGGCCCAAGTGGGATAAGACAGAACACAGTGGTTCAAAAACTGGCCCGGAAGCCAGACTGCCTTGGTGAAAGTTGTGACCCGATCACCTTGAATCACTTGGGACTCAGTTTGACCTGGAGAGTGAGGCCCTGGCGTGGGCGCAGAAGCCCACCCTGTGCATCAGCCTGCCCTTTGCTGGGTGGACCCAGGGGGAGACGTTCACAAGTGTAAGACACCGTTCCTCACGGCATTTACCCCATCACTGGACAGAGAAGTGCACCACCCAGTGTAAAAGTAGAAAGCAGGAAAGGATACGAAAATGGCTATATCACATTAATAGCACCATCAGTGCTCAAACATTAGTCCCAGGGTGGCCTGAGAATTACTGTGAAGTCTCCTTAGAGCTGTGTAGATAAGCAGTTATCACAGGAGGTATGACTGCTGGCATTTGGGAGCCCAAGAAGTTATTCTGTATTTAAAAAGGATCCTCATACTCCAAACAAGCCACCCGAGGTCCACGTCACAGGTGCCATGGTGTGAGTGTAGCCGAGGTGAGAAGGCCCCGGGGAGGTCCCCCATCGCCGGCTCTTCTAAAGCTCAGCCTCGGCGTCCTCTCCCGTACAGACTGCTCACCTCCCTAGGGGGCTGCAGAAACATCCTCCACCTTAGGGCCCTGCTCAGGGTCTTAATTTTTAATTTTACTTTCTCAGGTTTTAATTACTAGATATTGTTTGCATTTTGTCTGCCTGCTTCCACTATATTTTAAGATCCACGAGGACAAAGATAACATCTGCTGTGTTCTCTGCCCTAAACCCTGTGTTTGGCATAATCCCGGGCACACAGTAACATTCGCTAAATCTTATTTAAGTGAAAAAATGAATGAACAAGTTTAAGGGCCACTTGAAAGATGACTGGACTTAGAGGAGGCACTTTCCAGGTAGAGGGTACCGTGTGGAAGGAGGCATGAGAATAGCGCAGGTGATGATACTCCTTCACAAAGTAGAAGAACCGGAAGGCTGGAGAAGCTCGTTTCCCTGGGCAGCCCACTCTGACCCTGCTGTCACTCCAGAAACGTCCCCATTCCTGCACAGGACTTGTCCCCTCCAGGTGTCTTTCAGGCTGTCCCTCAGGACCCAGCCTGACTGGCCTTCCTCATCCTCACCCTGCTGCCGACCCTGATTCGCTTCTGCTGCTGTTTGAGCTCCACCGGGCAGTCAGGTCAGCCCTGTGACTAGAGCTCAGACACTGTGGTCGCCTGCGTGGACGTCAGTACTCAGATGAGAGCACGCAGGGGCCCTGGGTGTTCATGGCAGGGGAGGGACATGGTCACCTTTTGGACTTTAGAACATAAACCTGACAGCAGCATGGAGGACAGATCGAAAGCAGCAACACTCCAGCCAAGAAGGCTTGGAGGTGATTAAGGTGATCAAGGTGAGCAGTGTCAGCCCCGGAGGCAGTGGTGGCCGAGCCTCGTGTGTGTACGGGTAGTGGAGGGGAAGGAATTGACCCTTGGGAGCTTGAGAAAGCTTCGCGAGCCAAACAGATAGCACTTGTGTTTTCTGAAAGGTTCAGTTGCTGCTGATTTTGATGCCAGCAGGGAGAACAGAATTGACTTCTAGCTTCTGTTTCTTAGGTACAGATTCGTCTAGTGTTTCATTTCTCACACGCTTTCTAATATAAAGGAAATCAGTATACTTTTGTAAAACAAATAATGTATATTTGGCTTCTTAAATAGCTTAATCAGTAGCTCATATCCTTATGCCAAAAATTTTTCACCTTCTATGTAAATTCTTTCAACTGATTGCCGTCAGACTCTTGTGGGTATGACTGACATAAACATATACCCATAGGTATGTAACAGCTACAGTACAAATTAGGTTGTGTTCAGACAGTCTCCTCTTCAAAACTATTGCCAATGAAACTTCAACTAACAAGAAATTCACATCAGCTTCTTATTTGTCCCGGACTAGCCCTATAGAATGGCTAGACCAATTAGTATTTGCTTTTCCAAAGGCCATTTTGTTTTATATGCCTTTTTCCCTTCATATCTAGACTTCTAGAAGATCATTTGTAGTTAATGCTCACGTTGAAGTGTTGAAAGGTTACCTTGTATTTGATGGAACTTAAGCTATGATTGATTGATGGCAAAACAGGATTGGGGTATATGTGCCCGATTACTAAGGATAATTTACAGTATATTTAAATTTTCTGACTCTTTGATCTCAGTAGTGCCAGAGGCACATTTTTAAAAACACTGTACCAGCAAAACTAACAAGTCAATCCCAACCTGAGGGTAGTCTACAAAATTGACAGCTAGGCGATGGGGAGACATGAGTAAATGCAGTGTGGGGTCCTGGAGCAGTGAGAGGGCGTCAGTGGGCAAACTAGGGGCTCTGAGTAAAGTCCGCAGCTAGCGTGTACTCTTGTACCAACGTTGGTGTCTTAATTTTAACGGATGTTCCAGTGTCGTGTGAGATGTTAACTTCCGGGGCAGGTGATGGGGGGAGGTGGGCACTGGACGAAGGGCAGGAATTCCGTACTGTCTTTGCAGCTCTTCTGTAAATCTCAAATTACGTTGCAAATAAAATAGCCAAATTTCAACTTATTTGAGTATAATTCACAGTAGAAATCTAATTTCAGAACTAGAAATGTTGCAAGATCAATAGTTACCAGTTTTTTGAAGTTTCTGTACTTCAAGGTAATAGAATGGTTTCCTAGGGTCCTATCAGGAGCACTTAGTCATTCCCATCCCTGTGGTTAGCACGGAAGTGCCTGGCTCAGCAGTCATTCAGCAGCCAGCTCCTGGCATCTGCTGTGTGCCAGGGAGAATGAAGCCTGGGGTCAGCACAGAAGTGGCCGTCTGGTCTGGGCTCCTGTAAGTAGGGTGGAAAAAAAGCACGCTTCAGACGTACACACGCACACACACACACACACACACACACACACACAATGGAATGTTACTTAGCCATAAAAAGAAGGAAATCTTGCCATTTGCAGCAATGTGGATGGGCCTTGAGGACATTGTGCTCAGTGAAATAAGTCAGACAGAGACAAATACTGTGACCTCACTTATATGAAAAGAAAAAAAGCTCATAGATACAGAGAACAGGTTATGGTTGCTGGAGGCTGGAGTGGGTGAAATGGGTGCAGGGCTCAAAAGCTACAGACTCCGGTTATAAGTAAGTCCCAGGGATGTGATGTACAGCATGGTGACTGTAGTTATTAACACTGTTTTGCATATTTGAAAGTTGCTAAGAGGGTACGTCTTAAAAGTTCTCATCACAAGAAAAAGAAATGTGTCACTATGTGAGGTGATGGGTGTTAACTAGACTTACTGTGGCGATCGTTTCACAGTATATACAAATACTGAATCATTATATTGTACACCTGAAACTAATACAACGTTATACGTCAGTTATAGCTCAGTTAAAAAACACACTTTGCATGCACTGTTAACGTATCTATGTTTAGCATTTGATAGGTGGGGAGATAATTCCTCAGTTAATGTTTCTTAGCCTGTTACTCTTTTCTTGCATGTTTTCTTTAGCACTACATTATAACTTTTTCATCCAGGAAGCCCTCGGAGTCCATTGTTGCTAGCAGCATCTGATAAAGATTAGGTTGATTAATATGCAATTATTTTTGTTGTTCAGAGGCTGAATAGCAGCAATGTCCGACGATTCATCCTGGTCATACTGCCTCACTTTGAGTGGCTTTCTCTCTGTATATGAATTGGTTTAAGACTGACTAGCATTGATTGATAGATGCCTTGTTTCCTAAGTCTGGGCAAACACAAAGCTGATGTTGAAACCCTATAAACAGGGAAGTGTATTGATTAATATCAAGAGATTCTAGGGAGTCAGATTTTGTGGAATTTTTTTCCTTACTGAGAAAGGAGAAAGAACTGATGCTTTCTGAGGCATCCTTCTTAGAAACGAATCTGGGGCTCCTTTCAGATAGCGAGGGTTTTGTAGTTCCTGCCCAACACTGGTTGCTGCAGGCCGGAAATCTCAGTCCTCTTGGGTGGCCACATTGGAGTAGAGACCCCGAGAAAGCTCGGGCACTCACTCCCGGCCAGGTGCACCCGCTCTCGCTTGGCGGGGTGTCCTCAGGAAGCCAGCCCTGAATGGGCGCGCTCCCTCCTTCAGCTCCTGCGACCGCTGCCCATGAGTGTGACTTCCTGTCTTAGCCGGGTGACGTGTAGGCCTCGGGAGGGGCCGGGCAGAGCAGCACGCGGAAAACTGACAGAGTCAGCTGGATGGCACAGAGGCGTGAACCTGTAGCTCAGGCTGTCTGTCTGCTAGCACTGCACAGTTACTATTTTCAAACCTATTTGCCCAGTTGCTCAGAAGTTTTCCGGCAGGTTGAATGGTCAGGTGCACAGTTTAGTTGACCCATTCCACAGGTGCTGGGGGTCAGGGGACCACAGTGAGGGAAGGAGACGCGGAATTGGAAGCGACTGTGCCATGGGGTCGGCAGGAGAATGAGAATCAGCAGGGACCATAAGGTGTTGCGTTTCATCTTTACACGTGCGCATATTTACCTGTTACATGAGAGTTATTTCTACACACTTAACAAAGAACTAACTAACTACGTATAATGCTCACATCACAGATATTTCCATTTCCTTGTTTTTCACTAGTCTCTCTTCTACCAGAATTCTGTATCCACGGGAGACCATCACAGAAATCAAAGCAAGAGTGGGGCTGCTGCGTGGGAAGCTTAGAGAAAAGAACATGGCTTTTGGAAAAGCACTTTGAGGACGTGGCAGTGCAGTGGGTTTTGAGAGGTGGGCGAAAGAGGTCAAGGTTGCCGCCTAGGTTTCTGTCTCTAAGCAGCTGGGAGATTTGCTGAGATGAGGAGGTCCAGGCCTGGAAGAAAGTCACAAGTTCTCTTGGTGGCATGCCAGGTTTCAGGTGTCTGGGAATTTCAGGTGGAAAGCTCAGGTGGGCACGTGCATATGTGTGGGTCTGATGCTCAAGAGGAGACGCAGAGAGTGTTTGCAAAGCCTGGAGTCAGAACAGCTGTTAAATGCCGTCTCAGCTGTGGCGAGAGTGGCCTTTTTCAGTCTCTGGGCTCGTGGCCAGAGCTTGGACGGCTCTTCCCCAAACCACGCATCCCAGACTTCTCTTTTACAGAGTGTCCAAGGCCAACCACTCATGTTGTAGGTGACATCTGATAGTCAAGCCTTGCCCTTGAACCCATTTTGCTTCTCTTCACTTTAGTTCCTGTGATCTAAAACCATAACTGATTCTCTTCCAATTGCCTGTAGTTCCACACCTGGCTCACCTGTCAGAACCCCAGCCCTGGTTAAAACCAATGTTGGCCTACCAAGCAGGCTTTGGCCCGCACTTCTTTCCTGCGGCCACTGTATTTGTGGGAGTCATCAGGCCCCATGCCTGTAATCACGTCGGCTGGAGACCGTGAGGTTCTGACCCAGCCCTGCTGTCTCCCGAGCTCGGGTCTGTACCCAGCTTTATGCTCAGTGGTTCAGCTCGGGAGACTTGCGGATCTCAGGCACGTTCAGAATTAACGGGACTTGATCTTCCCGGAGCCCCGCCCCTTCTGTTTGCCCGCTTGTTCCACCCAAAGCTCGAGTTGTGTCGACTTCCCGCTTTTCCTGCCATCTCGAGCATCACCCAGGTGGCCATGCGTGCCCGGCGCCGGTCTTCCTGCTTCCATTCTCCCCCACACCTTCTCTGCAGGAGCAGAGCCAGCTTGTGAAATAAAAGTCACCAGCCCTAGGTTATCTAGGGCCCGCTCTCTGCCCCCCACCGCCTCGCACCCTGGTCTTCATCTCCAGTAACCGCAGCCCCTCTGGAACTGGATCCCACGCTGACCACTGCTCCTAGCGGTCCAACTCACTCTGCCGTGTCCCAGATCCAGATATCCTTTGACCACACTGGCACCTTCAGGCCACTCCAGGCAGGCTGTCACTGCCCTGACCCACCAGAGTATGCCACCTCCTGCTGATTCACCTGCTCCCACTTCCCTGACTGCTGAGATTTGCAGGCCGCCATGGGATGAGGTCCTGTCCCTGCCCCTCCAGATCCCACCCTGGTCCTGTCTCCAGTCTCCTGGCTTTGCTTCCTGTCTGTGTGCATCTCACACCGAGGCTCAGGTGGCCCCTGGTATTCTCTAAGACCCTCCGCCGCCTTGCTTCTCCTGGCCTTGGCCATTTCAGTTCAGTGGTAACTCTTACCTCTCAGTACATGCTGTTGATTCTGTTTTCAAAACAAATCTGAAATCTGACTACTTCTCACTCCTTTCTGCTTCTGCACTTGTGCAGCAGTGCCTGGGTCCCATCACCTCTCGCCTGGATTATTTTGTTGGCATCTCACTGGATCTCTCCTGCTCCCTTCATACTGTTCCCAACGTAGCGGCCAGAGTATTCCTGCCAAAATCTATGTCGGATCACAGTATTCCTATTCCAGGCCGCCCCAGGGCTTTGCATCTCACCAGGGTGGACCCAGTTGCGTCCTGTGGCCTGCACCCTCTTGTACCCTTCCCCAGACCTCATCCATCACACATCCTTTGCCCGCTGGCCCCCTCAGGCCACACTCCTCTCTCTGACACACCATGGACTGTGGGCTCACCACCCTCTACCATTCAGATGCTCATGGTTTATAAATAGAAAACTCACATAAATGAAAAGTCACCCAGAGATCACCTGTGATCCCACTACACAGAGAAGAGAGGCATGGCTGATTTGTCTTCACTGTGCGTTGGTGCGTGTGCCAGCCTGTGTGAGGCCCATATCCTGTGCTCTCCTTTTAAAGACTTCTACACTACAACAGATTGCCTTGTCTTATTTTTTCATGTAGCACTGTGATACAGATTTTCATGTCAGTAAATGGGATGTGCACAGCAGTCTTAGGACATCTGGGTAGCAGACACACTGCAGTGTGCATTGCCGGTTGTGGGGTACTCTACACGCTTCCGTGCTGAACCTCCTTGTTGCTGCGTCTTTGCACAGTTCTTTCATCATTCCTAAAGAATAATTTCTCAAAGGTTGTGGTTTTAAAGTTTTTGATTTCTTATTGCCAAATTGCCTTCAGAAAGGGTGTGTCAACTTCCCCTCCCAGGTTGGGATGTGTGAGTGCCTTTATGTCCCCTCCTTTGCCGACTTCAGGTCACATGCGAATATAGCCCTTATATTTTTAATGCCTAACTGTTTACCACATGTTCTAATAAGCCAATTATTGCTTTATCAATTTCTGTTTAAGAAATAAAGCTTGGTACTGCTGAACTGTATACTTTAGAATGGTTGCGATGGTGTATTTTATGTGTATTTTACTATGTTTTTTTAAATAAAAGAAACAAAGCTCTGATAAATACAACATTTGGTGAATGTAGGTGGTATTAAGTGGTGGCTGGACAAGAAATGTTCCTTGGTGTTGGCTGTTATTGCTGTGGTCTTTACTCATTGTTGGCTCTAAAAAGATGTTTGTAATTTTATCATGCAGGCCAAAACACTAAGAAAATTGATTCAACAAACATTTAGACAGTTTGCCAACCTTAATAGAGAAGAAAGTATTTTGAAATTCTTTGAGATCCTCTCCCCAGTGTACAGATTTGATAAAGAATGCTTCAAGTGTGCCCTTGGTGTAAGTATGGGGACTTGGAAATAGGGTGGGACTAGGTGTGATTTCTTTTGCTTTTTCTTATCCATGTATATCTAAATTTCTGATTGAAATCTAATTTGTCACATTTTTAACAACATGAGAATATTTTATCATTTTACAGTGGGAAAAATACAAAAAGAAAATGTGTCAACGTGAGACTAAAACCATCCTTTTTTAATAGCATGCCTAAGATTTTTTTTTTATTCCAGCCCAGCGATTCATTGATTAACTGTTCACTAAGGGCTAGTTTATCTATTCATATAATCTTCCCAAAGAAACCATTGGCTTGAGACCCACTGGAACGAGCGCAGTCTGTCTGTCTCTGCTTAGGCTCAGCAGATGCTGCACCGTGAAGTTGTAAATATTTTGTGTTATTTGGTTATAAAGATCAGTAGCAAGCTAGTGCAGACCCCTTTGGTCCTTTAATATGTCCATGGTTCTTTATCTAAAATATCTTTTTCCTTCTGGTACCTTTGCTGTCACCCGTTTCACCTTCAAGTCAAGCTGGATTATTTCGGTGGAGCTGGCGATTGGCCCCGAAGAAGGGATCAGTTACCTCACAGACAAGGGCTGCAACGTAAGTGCGCTTTGGACAAGTCTTGGGAGCGGCCTGTGTGGAACACACCTCCTTTCGGACCTGATTGTGGACAAAGGGGAATCAAAATAAGGAAATGAGGATCCTCTTGGAAAAGACATCATTCTGCCATTAAAGCTTTCCGTTTCACAGCGTTTATTGCTCAAGGGAATAAGAGGAAGAGACAGCCTAGGTCGAAAGTTTTTGAAATTCTTTAGTCGGGAAGGAAGGGAATCACACAAATGGCACATATGTTGGTGAGATCTGAATGGGGTTGTTACAGTTCATCTGGAGAAGTTTTAGATACTAATTTCTTCATTCACTTCTACATCTAATTTAAGTATATTTGTACTTGTATCATGTCCTTTGAAACAGCCTCTTCTGGCTCTTTCCAGGATCAAAAATATCACTAAGAAAAGGGCAGCCACCCCAATAGAGGATGTCCGAATAGTTAAGACGTAAGTGAAGCAACGTTCAGCCCCATAGTCATCAGATAAATGCACAGTGTGATACTGTTACACACCTACCAGAATGGCTGAGGTGAAAGAGATGAGTAATTCCAGGTGTTGGCAGGCATGTGCAACAGCTGGACGTTTCATACACTCTGTGAGGGTATAAAGTGGCACGACCTCTTCAGCAAGCTCTGTGACGTTATCTGTCTTCTCTTTGATTTGTAGTCTCTTGTATTCTCTTGCCAGGTTTTCTTTGTCCTTTCGCATTTAACCCGTGTGGAATTTTGTGTATGGTACAAGGTGGGCCTGCGGTGTGTCCGGAGGATGGGCTCTGGAGTGCGCAGCTGGGGTTCCCAGTGGGTCACCCTCATGCTGGCCGTGTGACTTTGAGTCCATTTCTTCACAGCTGGCTTGTGTTTCCTCGTCAGCAAAATGGCAATAATAATCACAACTACCTAAGAGGGGTGGTAGGAGAATGAAGTGGGTACTGAGTGTGCAGTGTTGAGATGAAGGCCTTGCACAGAGGAAGCACTTAGGGGATGCTGGCTGCTGTCATTGTCCCCTGTTGTCCTTCTTGTTGGTATCCCAGTGAGCAGCCAGCCGTGTCAGCACAGTAATCGTATCTTTCACCTCTGAACTGAGTGTCTGCCATCTTTGTGATCTAGTTCTGGATCCTCTGTTCTGGTCCAAGGGGACTGCTCTAGTGGGTGCTGCATCCCTGTGTTATCTTTTGTTTGTACACTCTCTGCATGGATCGTTTTTCTTTTGTACACTTTCCTGGCTGTTACTGGCTATTTAATCTTTCAAAACCAAATTTATAGAATTAGCAGAAAATTCTGTTGGGATTCCAACTTGTTTGTTAATTTGTGAAAGGAGATATTAGTTAGTTATCTGTCCAAGAATGTGGTATGTCTTTCTATTTGTTCAGGACTTCTTTTTTTTTTTTAATTTACTTATTTATTTATTTATTTTTGGCTGCATTGGGTCTTCTTTGCTGCGTGCAGGCTTTCTCTAGTTGCGGTGAGCGGGGGCTACTCTTCATTGCAGTGTGCGGGTTTCTCATTGTGGTGGCTTGTCTTGTTGCGGAGCATGGGCTGTAGAGCTCAGACTCCGTAGTTGTGGCACACGGGCTTAGTTGCTCCACGGCATGTGGGATCTTCCTGGACCAGGGCTTGAACCCATGTCCCCTGCATTGGCACGGGTGGACTCTTAACTACTGTGCCACCAGAGAAGCCCGTTCAGGACTTCTTTTACATCCTTCAATAAGATGTCATAGTCTTTTTTGTATAGTTTTTTTTTATGCGGGTCTCTCACTGTTGTGGCTTCTCCCGTTGCAGAGCACAGGCTCCGGACGCGCAGGCTCAGCGGCCATGGCTCACGGGCCCAGCCGCTCCACGGCACGTGGGATCTTCCCGGACTGGGCCACGAACCCGTGTCTCCTGCATGGGCAGGCGGACTCCCAACCACTGCGCCATCAGGGAAGCCCTCGTATAGATTTTTTCTATTAAGCTAATTCATAAGTATTATAGAGTTTTTGGCCTTATTGGGAAAATTTTTTTTGGCCATTTCCAATTTAAAATTCATACTGTGAGCATAGCAGAATATACTTGATTGTTGTTTATCGTGTATCCAGCAACCTTGTTCATTTAATAAGTCATTTTTATTAGAATCTTAGATTTTATAGGTATATAATCATGTAATCAGCAAAAAAAAGGAATAGTTTTAACTTTTTTTCTCTAATCTGTGCAGTTCTTTCCTGTTCTCATATTCACAGGCACCTTGAAGATCATGTTTAAAAACGGGTGGTAGAGGATATCCCTATCTTGTTTTAGGTTTTAATTTATCAGTTAAAAGTGTGTCGGGCTTCCCTGGTGGTGCAGTGGTTGAGAGTCCGCCTGCCAATGCAGGGGACACGGGTTCGTGCCCCGGTCCGGGAGGATCCCATGTGCCGCGGAGCGGCTGGGCCCGTGAGCCATGGCTGCTGAGCCTGCGCGTCCGGAGCCTGTGCTCCGCAACGGGAGAGGCCACAACAGTGAGAGGCCCACATACCGCAAAAAACAAACAAACAAACAAACAAAAAGTGTGTCATCATTCAGGATAATTTTTGATGTTGGGTTTTAGTAATGTATCTTTTAAAAGAAATATATTTATTTATTTGGTTGTGTGGGGTCTTAATTGCAGCACATGGGCTCCTTAGTTGCAGCATGTGAACTCTTAGTTGCAGCATGCATGTGAGATCTAGTTCCCTGACCAGGGATCGAACCCGAGCCCCCTGCATTGGGGGTGCAGAGTGTTATCCACTGCGCCACCAGTAAAGTCCCTTTAGTAAAGTGTCTTTCATGTTTTTAAATTATGCCTTTCTTTGCTTAGCGCTTTTATTAGGAGTGGCTACTAAATTTAAGGGAAGGCTCTTCCAGCCCTAATGATACGATCCTGGTGTTTCTCTTTTAATTTGTTATTAGTGTATATTATCTTGATTAGCTGTGCTGATAGCTCCTACTGGTTATGCTATATGATTCTTTGGAAATAGTGATTTATTATATTTGCTAATATATAGAATTTTTGCAGCTATTTATAAGTGAAATCAGTCTAGTCTTTTTATATTAGCTCTACGAGGACATGATGTTAGAAGTTACACTAATTTTATCAGGCGAATTAGGGGGCTTTTCATCATTTTGTGGCCTGAAATATTTTAAGTCAAGGTAGAGTTGTGTATTCTGTGAAGGCGGATAGAATCAATCTATGTAACCACGTGGTGCCTTTTTCAATGGTGGGTGTTTAACCGTTTTTTCAACCTCTCCAGTAGTAATAGATCTATTCAGGTTTTCCAGTTCTTGTGTCAGTTTTGGTAATTCATACTGTTAGCGTCTCATCCGCTTTTCTACATTTTTAAATTGTTGCCATGGAGTTGCATCTCGTGATACCCTTACGATCTTTCCAGTAACTTTATTTCTATATCCTTTCTCAGTCCTAAGCTTGTCTGTTTGGATTTGTCTCTTCTTTTCAGATTTGCAAAGGATTTATTTCAGCTGCTTTTGAAGGACAGGCTTAGCGGGTAGGGTTATAGCATTAATCTATTTGTCTTCATTAATTTCAGTATTTATCTTCACAGATTTCCTTTTCCTAATATCTTTTGCTTATTTTTATTCTTTTCTTCTGCCGTTCCCTTTAAGTACTTCTTTAAAATTTATTCTTTTTATGTGGCCGACCTTGAGGGATAATGTCAGAATGAGGCAGAAAAACAATGGGTTAAAAGAAGGAATAAAAAATAAGTTAAATACAATAATTTCCATAACTCAACTTTCTTTTTGTGCTTTGGAAATTTTTTTAAATTGTAAGATGCCAGTAATGGGAATATTTTAATATAACCATTTACTGAAACTAATTGAGATATTTCTCATTTCATGTGTCACCACTGACTTAATGATATTTGGTTCCCAGTGTGTTAGGAGGAGCCTCAGGCCTCCTCTATGACAGTGTATGTACCTTGTGCCAGCAGCTCAAACATCAGACTAGCATCGCCCTCGGTGATGTCCTTTTCCAAAATGGTGAGCAGCTCATAGTAACATTCCAAAGACAGGCAAGTGTAATATTCCCTGAATTACACCTAAGTTGCATTCCTGGAAAATTCCATGCGGAGCATACTTTGTGTTTTAAAATAGATGTGGGTTCTAGAATCAGATTTTTCACCAGCATGAATAAATACCAGGATATTTGAAAGCCATTCAGGACGCAAGACAGTTTTTCACCACGTGGGAATTTCCTGCACATTATATGGCCTCTCACAGCCCTGGTCCTCATTCATGTTCCTCATTCTTTGGTCAGCTGAAAACTGACCACAGGGAATGGCCCTGCCCCAGTGAGACCAGAGCACATCCCATCAAGATGAGGTCCTGGTGGGGAATTAGGTCAGAGAGGCAGGCAGAGGTCAGATCATGTGGGTGTTTGATTCCTTTGGGCTAGCATTGTACCGTTTTTACAGGGGACTTAATAGGACCAGATTTACATTTTAAAATACCTCCCTGGCTTCCGGGGGCTGTCTGTGTAGAGGATGAACACGGATGAAGGGATACTGGCTGGGAAACAATTTCAGGACGAATTCTGAGCACCGTGCAAGACAGTGGCTTGTACTGGAGTGGTGGCTGTGGGCATGGAGGGAAAACGCATGGATTCTGGGTGTTGGGAGCTGGGCTGGATGTGGGGTAAGGGAAGGAGGGGAGTCAGTAATCATGCCTTCATATTTCCACTCAGGAACCAGGTTGAATGGTGATGGCTTTTGTTGAAGTGAGGAAGACTGGAGGGGGAAGATGTTTTGAGGGGGGGTCCCCGTGACTGTGCTGGGTGTGCAGTCAGTCTCTCCAGTGTCCACGCGAGGATGTCACGTAGGGAGTGGGATACTTGAGTCTGAGCTCAGGACTGGAGATGGTACTTGTGCCACAGGACTGGCTGGTGTTCACCGGGCAGGCCGTGCACAGCTGGCGAGAAGGACGGGGCCCAGCACAGACCCCTGTAGCACCTGAACGTTTGTGGGTTGAGTAGGGGAGAAGCCAGGAAATGGAAAGAGAGCCACGGAGGGAGGAGGAAAGCCCATGAGGGCAGAGGCCAAGAGAGGGCCAGGCGTGGGGGCTGTGCTGTGTGCTGCCCAGGGGATGGAGGACTGCCCGTGGGTATCCGTGTGGGGGGCCTGACAGCAGTGCCTGAGAGCAGTGCTGCAGAGACGCGTCCCTGTGAAGGGGCGCGGGGTAGGAGTCCCCTTCTGAACCGTAATTCCGGCTCAGTCCCAGTGGCATAATCTGTGCTGAGTGGGGCACTTGGCAGGGAGGGGCTGATACCTGTGATGTTCTAAGAGAAAGAGGTCCTAACTAGGCCAATTGTTTTGGATAAACCTATAGGAATCGTCTCACGCGAACCGGTCGTTGTCATGAAATGGTAGAGGATGAAAGACGGATGGGCATGTTTTGTCTGCATAAGAAAAAAGGGTTTACTCCTCTTGGGAAAATGAACAGTGTCTCTCTTGGCCTGTCTGTGTGGGAAGGGCCCTTTGGATACCCAGCGTCTCCCTAGCACTGTTACACTCTGGAACTTCAGAACGTTTCAGAGACTTGTTCTAGCTCAGGGTGCATTGGGAGTGGGAACAGGTCCCTCTCTCTGTGAGAAGTGGAGCAGAATGTTCCCTTAGGCCAAGAATTTCACACGGTTCCCCCCAGGCCAGAGGGTGAGTCAGGTCGGGGACTCCCTTCTTCCTTTCTCTGTCATGTGTCGTGTGGGACTGGTGACCACTTGTGCAGCTCCTGAGGATGGAGTGCCCCTCAGCCGTCAGGAGCACAGAGAGCAGACACATCCCTGACCGTGAAGTGAGCAGGTGGCCCTAGCAGGTCCATGACTGCTCCTCAGAGGGAGAATGGCCCCCCAGGCAACATGGACAGTTGGTTTCCTCAGACATCCCGTCTAGGGAGGTGTCCTTAGGAGGATGAGGTGGGCTTGGGACCGTGAGGACTGCACAGAATAGTTCACATGAGTCTTGCATCTGTGGTCCAGAGCGTTTGCCTTTTCTTCCCAAAGCCCACACACCTGGCCGACTTCAATCAAGTGCAGACCATTCAGTATTCAAACAGCGAAGACAAGGACAGGAAAGGGACGCTGCAGCTGAAGATTGCAGGAGCGCCTGAGGTAAGGAGGGCTCACGTGCGTCACGATGGGAAGACGAAAATAAAGCGCTGTTGTAGAAATGATTGTTTCTGGTTGCAGGTGAAGTATTCGCGGGTCATCAGAATCACAGCTTTCTCTAATGTAATAAGCGTTACATTACGAATAGTAATGATTAAATGCCCTCAAGAGTAGAAAACAGGTTTAAAAATTAATGGAGCCTTATTGTGGAGATGCTGGGAGATTATCATGAATTACCAAGAAAATCAGCCTCTTAGAATTATATAAATTCTGTAAACTGTGTTACAGTGTTATTTCCCAGACTGTGCAGTATGTGACATTCTCTGGGGGGTAATAATTAGGAAAATAACCGCGGCAGCAGCTGGTACTTTGTGCCACATATGTCCCCACTGTCCGACACTTAACACAGAAGCCAAGGGCAACACACGGCATCCTCAGAACCCAGCCGAAGAGGCACTTTGAGATACTTTGGTGACCCCCAGTCTGTAGATGAGGGAACCAAGCACAGGATGGTGGCCACGGTCCTAGTAGGCGGTAGACATGGAGTTCGTCCCAGACAGTCTGGACCCGGAGCCTCTTCTTAATCAGCACGTGGTGTGGAAAGTAAAGGCAGGCCTGGCACGAGAAATGAACATTTGGCAAACACTGCATAAGGTGACCTTTCTGAAAGACGGGCAGAGAATACTCACATACCGAAGAGTCTGCACCACCTGGCGGCACACGCAGGCTTACTCGTGGGTGAAGCCCGTTCTGGGGGCTCACCTGGCCCCACTCGCACACCTGGGCTCTGCTCTGCTGCGGCCCCTGCGGGGATCATTTGTTTTCGGTGCTCCTCACGCCTTCTTGCTCCTGCTGCCTTGGGATCGCGGCATTTCTAGGCTCCAGGCAGTGGATTCTCAGAACTAAACAAATGATGCCGTGAAATATTGAAACCGTATTGCAAATTGAAATTTCCTGAAAATATCTCAGTAATTTCTTGTTTGCACCATGATTTTCAGGCTGTCCTCCTTTCTGTTTGCTACCCTCAAATAATATTTAGGATACTGCAGGTGAGATAAGTTGTCCCTTTGGAAGGAGGTTATGTAGACTACATGAGTTAGGACATACTTGTGTTTGAAAGGAAAATACAGCTTTGATGATCTCCTGGATAACATTTAATGATAGGTTTTTAGGAAATTTATCATAATTGCATGTTTAACTTGAAAAGTGTGGTTTCTAAGCTCTGGAGCAGAACATGCTGTACGTGCTCAAAATAATGAAATTCCACTAATTTTCTTTAATGTCAGAAAAATTACGATGGATGGTTGATAAAAATTTACTCCATATTTCTCTAGTTTCTAAAATAAGCTCTACTTTAGCTTACTAATTTTCTAAATTCTTTTCTTAATTAGAGCGTGCCTAAGGGACCAGACATTCTGAAAGGAAGTGGTTTTTTCACCTCTTTTTGTTCTAGAAAGGGAGTCTCGGTTTAAGTGATTTTTCTTTTTTTGCCTGGGTTTGCCTTCTGTCACATATTCTAGGAATAACATCCTTAAATATCAAACTTCCTTTTTCACTCAAACCTTATGACAGATCTTGTTTCGCTCCCACTCTGTGTTCAAGTGCATCTAGAGATCTGATGTCATAGTGCAGCTGTCCCTTTGATTACTGGAAAGAACAATAACAGCTCTCTCTGGGTCTTCTCCCCTGTCCAGCCTCTGACGGTGACAGCACCGTCCCTGACCATTGCCGAGAACATGGCCGACCTGATAGATGGGTACTGCCGGCTGGTGCACGGGGCCACGCAGTCTTTCATCATCAGGCCTCAGAAAGGTGAGCTCTCCTTCTGTTCCAGCGCTCCCTCTGAATCGTTAGCCGAGCTCACCCCACAGCCTGTAGTCCTTTTAGATTGCTCTGTGAAAGTGAAGAGTGGATGAATAATTCAGCCCAGTGGATCTGTATTCTTGCTTTTCTAGGGAAGTGATCCAGCTCACAGCCTAAGAGCTGGGTTTGGACAGAGCTTAAAGGAAACATTGTGTTTAGACCCTTTTGTTTTGAGCAACATACTTAATGTATTTTCTAGGTTACCATTAGCATTTTTAAATAAACTTTTGGGATTATGTTCTGGGTCGTTTTTTTTAAGTCTCTTGTAACTCATGATAAATAAAGTCTCTTTCCTATTTTTTCTCATAGATCTCAAAAGCTGAGAGTAGTAGTTCTAAGCATGATGTGATGAACCTTAGAAACACGACTGTGTCTCTTTAGCCTTTCACAAGGCAGTAAGATGGGGTGTTTCAGAGGATTTGGGTTTCTGAAATAAAGCAGGAAAAAACTGGACTTTGGAATTGTATTGACCTGTGGATTCAAATCATGAGTGCATGCCGCCTGCAAAGTACTTAACTTTCTGTGCCTCAGTTCCGTCCCACAAGACACGAAGAGTGGTCCCTGTCTTGTGTAGTCGTGGGGGGACGGCCTCGTGTGTAGGTGGCTTGGGGCCGTGCTGGCACGTACAGCGTCAGAAACTTCAGTGTTGCTGTCGTTGCAACGCTGCTGCTAGTTTCAGTGTGATCTTGACACGCTGGATGAGCCTTGGCTGGAGATTCCTCGTCCATAACGGAAGAATGGTACCTACTTTGTAGCATGGTAGGGGGGTCCACAGTAGTCCCCATCAAGCAGGCAGCCAGCTCTGTGGCAGGTGGACACAGGATCCCTGCCAGCATTCCCCTCTGTGGGTAGGACGATCCCTGGAGGGAGTTGGGGACGACTGAGCAGTGAGCGAATGGGGAAGCGTATGTGGAGACACACAAGGGAAGCAGATGACAAAGCCCTGAGCTCCAAGTGTAGACACAGCAGAGGGCCCTGCCTGCCCAGCAGTCGAGTTCTCTGTGCTGACAGCAGGTGGAGGGCGTTGAGGGAGGGTGTGAAGCAGAGGTATCATTGGAAGCTTTGTTTAAAAGTTAGTGTCAGGGTGTTGTGCTCTGAAAACGGTATCTATAAAGCCATGAACCAAAAGGCCAGTAAGTGCATGGATTCCAGGATGTGGCTAATCTAGCAAATATGTTTTCCCACTATGATCAGACCAATAAAGCCTCTTCATTTATTTTTTTCCTAAAATATAGTGTGTATTTGTCATAGCTTTTTTTATGTAATGAAGTTGCTTTTAGAAATATCTAAAGGCTACTCTCAGTTAAAATTTTTGCATCCATGAGCTTTGAGTTTTCATATTGTGCTTTAAATGGGGATATGTACCTTGCAAACATTATTTAAATGTTTTGGGACAGTTGCTTCGTATAAAGGTAGTATTCTATGAAAAATGTTAAATGTGCCGTATCGCCTATCTTCTTTTTAGTGAATAATTTTTTAATTTCATCCTGATTTACCAAAATGTTCTTCATTAATTTGTTGGTACACAAAAAAATAACATTCATACATTAGGCATTAAATGTTTGAAGCTTTAACATCTTCCTGTGTTGGTTTTTAAATGGCTTTTTTTCCCCTCTAGGGAGAAACATTTTGATATCAAATCTCATGAAATGAGATGCATTAAATTCTTCATTCATATGAAAACAGCATAAATGAAAATGCTTCTCATAAAAACCTAGTAGGGCATTGGTTGTTACCAATTTTATGTTGTCTTTATAGAATTAATTATTGAGTCTGATAATTTATTTACTTTATTCTAAATCACAGCATATGTACTTATTACATGACTGTTTTATAATAGATACCTAAAGTGAGGTTATATTGCCTAATTGAAATAATATTTTAAGTCAGATGTTTTAATGGATTATAGTCAGAAATACGTGGACGAGAGCACATGTGCATTTTTTAATTTAGTTTTTTTTAAATTTCAAATAAATGTGAAACATGTTTCCACAACTCTAATGTACCATTTTCCTGGTATGTACTTTAAGTAACGATTATGTACGTACCCATTTGTCCTCTCTCGACTATAAACTACTTAATGGTAAGGAGCCATGTACACGTTTGCGAGTGTTAACAGTTATAGTGACGTGTAAGTTCTACACCTGAGGTCTGATGTGCCCAGATGCACTTTGTTAACTCTGTGATCCACCATAATTGCTTTGAATTTAGAAAGTGCTTTTAAAGGTGGTATCATTGGGGCAGAAAACTAAGAGTCACAAGTCCGATGCCCTGAACCAGGTTCCAGTAGAGTCGCTGTGTGACCTTGGCACTTATCGTGGGGCGTTATCTGACCTTTCCTTAAAGCAAGAAAGCTCAGTAGCAATTTTTCGATCTTAGTAAAATTCTCCTCAGAGGAAAGAATTGTGCGAATCAGGGTCATGATTTCATCGTTCTCAAGGAGGGTTTCTGTACGGAGGATGATGGTAAATACTGCACATTGTGAGGGTGGGGCTGCTCCCAAGCCTGACACAAAACCCGGAAGGCACAGAGAGCAAATCCGTAGAGTTCATCAGTACATAAGTACGAAAGCGCTTCTACTAGTAAAAGAAATGCTTTTTAAAGCCGTGACACAGAAGGGGAAACATCTGTAATACATGCAAAAAAGAATTAAAATCTCTTACTTTTCAAGTGTTCTTCTAGCTCATTGAATAAGAGGGTAAAAATGGGCACCCGTAGAAGAACGGACATACACTGTCCGGTAAGCTTACGGACACAGACAGTGACAGATAGCATTCTGTGTCTGTTAACCTGTTGTTAGATGGGTGGAAAGACCGTGATACCCATTCTTGGTGGGGCTGTTGCAAGGTGCCCTCCACACTCTACTGTGTCGGCATGAGTTGGGACAGTGCTTTCGGTTGCTCCTGGTACTGCCGACCCCTCCTGGAAACAGCCGCGCAGGACCACTGATGCGGCGCCCCTGCTGCACTGTCTTCGGTAGCACAAAATGTGCAGCGACCCCGGTGTCTACGGGGGTGGAGCTAGTAGCTAATAAATAAGGGAGTGTGAGATGCCGTGCAGCTGTTTGAAAAGACGAGCTGGCCCGATTTCCGTGCTGAAACCTACATGCACGTGTGTGTGTATAGGCAAACCTGCGTGTGTTTATAAGCATACAAGGAGTCTGGTAGTCTGGAAAGTTAAATGTGGACAGTGAATACCCCTACGGAAGGTGGAATTGTATGTGAAGGTGGGGGGTGGGGGGCTTCAACTTGTCTACTTTTTTTTTGTCTACATTATAGACCTTTATGATTTAGATTTGTTACAGTGAATCTGTATTGATTATTTAATTAAAAAACAATAGATAAAAATTTTTATTCAGAAATTAAAAGCCTCAGTTCTAAAAATGAAAATAAAAATGTGGTTTAATACAAAGATGCATCCTTAATCCTAAGGAACTTATGCTGAGAAATAAGAGACCACATGAATGCCATGAGAAAGCATATGTTACTAATTCATGTTACTATGAAATGTTATAAATGTTACTAATTCAACTTATAAATTTAAAGCAGTGTCAAAAGTTAGCTCCTAGCGTTGGGCATTTTAGTTGGTGAGCGCTTAGGGATTTTTATAATGCCGCTGCTTATCGCGTCTGTTGCCATTTCTCTTAATGTTCTGCTACGTTCTTGTTTCCTGAAAATTGACTCCCTTACGCTCCTTCAGTTGTTAATCACCTCATTTTCAGCCTTCTTCCTACTCCTGCCCAGCTTCTTATAAAGTCTGTATTAACCAAATAGTTCATAATCTGGTTCCTTTTTCTCTCCAAGGAAGTAGAAATTTCAACAGAGAGTGTAAAACAGCTAGAAATCACACTGACATGTCATTTGAAAGCCCATATGATTAATTGACCTTTGTTGAGTGTGGGTAAGGTGGTAGTGGTAGCATCCATGGGGTAATAAACTAATGATAGGATTTTCCAGTTATTCTAAGTTTGGTCTTCATGGTATAACGTGGTTATTTTGCTTGAAATTCGGATGTCAGAAAGTCATAGTGAGGAAATTTGGATGAAGTTTCTGCAGTGTATTGGGTATTATGCAGTGGCTGTGAGTGCCGGGTCCTCTGCCAGTGTGGGGGGTGGCCTGTGGGCGGGTCGTCTGACCTTCTAAGTTGTCTGATACGTGGGAAGCGCTCTGCTAATGCAGCAGAAGCACAGGAAGGCCATCCAGAGCCACTTGGGGTGTTCCAGGAAGGGCTCCTTTGAGGAGGTTGAGCTTGAATTGAGCTTTGAAAGATTGAGGGATGATGCTTCCACCAGAAGGAAGAGAATCTTTCAAGAGATGGAGTGTATGAAGGCATCGTGCTGTGTTCAGGGCCATACGGGACAGGGACCGGGGGGATAGGAGGAGGGACAGTAGACCTGGACAAGGGTAATCCGCGGCCTGGGGAGCGAGGGGACTGGTGGGATGGGTTTACCACCAGATTCATCCAGATAAAAGAGATTAAACCAGGGGGCTCCATGCTTCCTGGTTCACTAATGAAGGGGAGGGAGCACATCTCCCCAGCCACTGAGCAGAGCTTCCCTGTGATGCGCTGGCCAGAGCCCAGCCATGACGGGGGAGTCTGCCACCGTCGTGGGGGCCTCAGCACCTCCCGAAGTTGAGTCCACAGGACACTTCAGGCCACGCCTCTGAGGCTGCTGGGCCCCTTGGCTGCCCCTGTTCCTCCAGGAACACAACCTGTGGGTTTGTTTCCTTTGGATTTCTGTGTGTCCTGCACAGGTTTGTTTTTTGTTTTTTAAAGAAGATGTTGGGGGTAGAAGTTTATTAATTTATTTATTTTTGCTGTGTTGGGTCTTCGTTTCTGTGTGAGGGCTTTCTCTAGTTGTGGCAAGCGGGGGCCACTCTTCGTCGCGGTGCGTGGGCCTCTCACTATCGCGGCCTCTCTTGTTGCGGAGCACAGTCCTGCACAGGTTTTGGTGTTGCCGCAGGACGTTCGGTCTTTGGTAAAGAATGTTGGCTTTGATTATGAGAAAATCTTCATCTTCTAGAGTCTCCTGGGAAGAATATCTTTCATCAGTTTATCCCTTAGCATTTGGTTTTGATTGGTAATACCTTTTATATAGTCTGCACCTGCAGGCAGTGTGTATTTGTCACAAATACTAAAAATAAAGCCATGGAAACCTAAGATAGATAGGCAGTATACCAACTTCATTTTAAAGTGTTATAGCTAAAATTCTGAAATAAGACTCATCTTCTTTCTCTGATTTCTATACATAATCTTTTCAAAAGGAAAGAAAGAATCTCATCTCTCTCTTTCTGTTTTTTCCCCAGAAGGTGAACGGGCTTTGCCATCGATACCAAAGTAAGTACTGCTTTGTGTGTCTTGTGATTCCTGTGCATTAGAAACTGGGAGGAACTCACTATGCTTTACTATCCATTTGCCTGAGTAATCAAATTTCTACGTATATGATTAGGAAACTAGAAAACCAATGTTTCCAGAAAGAAATCAAATCAATTTTAAATCATGTAGTTAGGTTTAATCAAAAGTGTACAGTGAATTTTCCCTTTAAGTTCAGCAGGGAGCTCAAGAATAGCAGTGAGATCGTATGAGGGAGGTCTGTTGTCAAACAGTCACTTTATAGTCAGTGACAATATTTATAAGAACCTGAAAATAGATACCATTCTGGCTATTTTACAAGTGAGAAAATTAAAGATATGTAATTTATGTTAATTTTTAAATTTGTTTATGTCATGAATTTCATAGTAGATGTTTCAATCTGTACAAGGAAAAGAATGCCAAAGCTTCTCTGTTCTCAGCCATTGTGCTAGGAATTGGGGACCAAGTGAAAGTTACAATCTAGACATTCAGATATAGAGGTAAATAAACAATTACAGCTGTGTGCTGAGCACTCAGAGAGAGATTTGAAGAGAACCCAAGGCACCTGCAGAGAATACAGCACCTGAGACGCCACTGCATATAGGGACAGAGAGGGTGGAACCTGGGCGTCACCTCTGTTCTGTCACTCTCTCTCCTCTATCACCGGTCTGCCGCCAGTTCCTTCCTTTCTGCTTCCTAACAGATCCATCCACTTGACATTCCCACCATCCCTCCCCGGTTTTTAGCTGTTATCACCTGTCTGGGCTCCTCCAGTAGACTCCTGTGTCGAGGTCCCCAAGACTGCCCCATTCAGTGATTCCCTAGAAAGAACTCCCAGGACTCAGCACGTAACCGTACTCTCAGCTGTGAGGTATGGCTGCCAGGGAACGCAGAACAAAACTGGCCAGGCCGAGAGCAATGGCATGAAGTCCCGAGGGAGCCAGGGGCAGGCTCCCAAGAGCCCTGTCTCATGGACTCAGGTACGGCGCACCTGATCCTCGGGAATGAATTGTGATGCCGTGGAGTGTTGTCTACCAGGGAAGCTAGTTAGAGACTCGGTGCCCCAGCTTTTATGGGGGCCTGGTCACGTATGCACACTTTGCTTGGCGTGTACCCAAATTCCAGACTCCCAGAAGGAAGGCAAAAGTTCAGCACGAACCATATTACTTGTACAAACAGTCTAAGGACAGTGAACCACACTTACTAGTTAGGGGTTGGTGGGAGCCCTCCTAAACACCAGCCAAGGGCCCAGCTCAAAGGACAGCAGCCTCAGGTCTTCTGGGTTCCCATTTTCCTGCACACCTCCTACCCATCTTTGCCTGTCCCATGTTGCCTACCGTCCCGTCCATTCTCTACAACAGCAGAAGGGACCTTTCCTCTCGAACCCCTTGCGTGACCGCTGCTGCTCTTAGATTCAGGCCCACATCCTTCAGCCAGCCAGCCGGAGGCTGCACGACGGTCCCTGCCGGCTCCTCCAGCCTCACCTCCCGTTCCTCGTGCTCACTCTTCGTTCACATTGAACTGCCTTCAGTTCCTGGAGTCCTTCCTTCCCTCCGGCCTTGTCCTCAGCAGGGGCCTGCTCAAATCTTATCCTGCATCCCTGCCTCTGGAAACCTCCCACCACCCCAGTCCCAGGAGCAGCCCTGTGTGTTTTCCTGTAACTTATCTCACATTAAACAGTTACCTCTCTGCTGCTCACACCCTGTGGCCTCGTTGACGGCCAGGGTCACGTGACGTGGTAGACCCGACCCTGGGCCGTATCTGGCACACAGGAGGTACACAGCAGCTGGGCAGGCGAGTGGAGGGATGGGCGAGACCAGCTTTCTCTTAGCTTTTAGGCCTTGTGTTTCACAAACTCAACAGTATTTAATAGATATTTGTTAATGTCCCATATCAGGCAAGGAACTAATGCTCAGAGTATCTTCAATTGTGGGAAGTCTTAAGAGATGACTTTGAGGATCAAAACACACTGGAATCATAAACACAGATAAAAAAGTCAGGAAGAAGGGAGTCGGTTAGAAGTGCTAGCAAATCCTAGAAAAACTGAACAAATAAAGCAAACTTTAAAAGAGCAGAATTTCCACAAATCATAGAGCAGCAGACCTATTATTGCCACTGATCAGAGAAGTGCAGATATCCCTGCAGTTGTAAGTTGGTTTGAAGTAGCATCCCAGCCCGCAGCCCAGGAAGACCCTGGTGTCCTATCAGCAGGATACAGAGGCAGATGATGTAACCTGCTTATTATGAATGTGTGCACCTGTGACCTCCTGATAAATGTAGTTCAGAGATGGTGAGAATAAGTCGTGGAGCTGCAATAGAAGAGGAACTGGTGATTTGTTAGAAAACAACTTTGGTTAAACTTTTATAATAAAGATACCATTTCACATATTTAGAGAATTCCATAAAAGGAACTCAGGGCTATGGCTTTGTGCTGTAACCCTTAGTTATAGAGGTTATGTAGTTGCATATTGAATATTTCTAGTTCTCAATGGGGATATACTATTTTAAGCTCCAGTATTACCTAATATAAATTCGATATACTAGGAAAAATTCTTATTTAGTACTTCTAGAGTAAAGGCTTATGTAGCAGGAAAAGTTTTCTTTTATAAAAAGAGCAAGTGACTTTGACATCTAAAGACTATAGGGTTCTGGGCTTCCCTGGTGGCACAGTGGTTAAGAATCCGCCTGCCAATGCAGGCGACACGGGTTGGAGCCCCGGTCCGGGAAGATCCCACATGCCGCGGAACACCTAAGCCCATGCGCCACAACTACTGAGCCTGTGCTCTAGAGCCCACGAGCCACAACTACTGAGCCTACGTGCCACAACTACTGAAGCCCACACACCTAGAGCCCGTGCTCCACAATAAAAGAAGCCACGACAATGAGAAGCCTGTGCACCGCAGCAAAGAGTAGCCCCTGCTCACCGCAACTAGAGAAAGCCGTGCACAGCAACGAAAAACCAAAGCAGCCAAAAATAAATAAATAAATAAATTGATTTAAAAATAAATAAATTAATTAAAGAAATGCAACAAAAATATTTTAAAAAATAAATAAAGACTATAGGGTTCCTTTTTTCTCTGCTTTACGCTTTTCCAAAAATGTTAAACTGAACTATACTTGGATTTTTTTAAATGTCACTGAAACCTTTGACCAAAATGTTATTTTATGTGGGTGTGTATGTAGAACACTAACGTTGTCGAGCTGTTTCATGAAACAAATAACCGGATGCGTTAAGCTTACCTTGTTTCAGTCTGTAAATAATAACAATATATGTCCATGTGCTGCCTGCTCTTGGACATGCTCGAAATTGAAGCAGAGCCAGTCGTGTAACAGTGTTTCACATTCGCATCTCAGTCCCAGGCATCGTTCCCTCTGTGGTATAACTTCGGCCACTCCCTTGCAGTCCAGCATCTAAATTAAAGTTAATCTAAGCCACGTACACCACATTCAGTCATGTTATAGTTCAGCGTTCCTTCACTTCTCTGTCTTAATTTCTGGTCTTTAAAACATTAAAGCAGTCTGGTGACTTTAAGGGCCTCAGGTGGTAGAATCCAGTGTTTTACAAAATCACCCCTCTAGACTGTGCAGTCTCCCTGGGAAACGGCACAGTCGTCCTGATTCTGGGCAGCTCACGGTTTGAATGAATGCTGGCGGTGTGGTCTGAAGAGCATGGCACTCACGGCTTTGCACCTCTGTTCCAGGCTGGCCAACAGCGAGAAGCAGGGCGTTCGGACCCACGCCGTCTCTGTGTCAGGTAAGAAGCCACACGGGCGTCAGGCAGAGGGGCCCACCACGGTGGTAGGAAATCGCCATGTGTTAGACATCTGCTCATTTTTATTAGGATTACTTCTTTTTAGAATAGCTTACAAAAATTAAACATTAAAATTGTTAATAATTTTAAAAATTTGCATAATTTTACCATCATGAAATAGGTTTAAATATAGCTCACTGATTCTTTTAATATGAGACATACGTGTATAATACTAGATTACTCACAGGATTGTATAGAATTCCAAGTTACTTTTCAGTTTTAATTCCATGTTAATTATATTTAGAGTGAAAATTTTTACTTTTGAAACTGCAATTATAATTTATCTTTGTAATGCAGCAGAAATTAACATAATATACTTTGTATATTTATTATTTTTTGAAGTTCAGGAAATGTGAAACTTTTTTAAATAGCTTTTGTCTTTAACAATTAACATAAAACAGTGTTTGAATATTGTTTTTTTAAAAATATAGTTAAGATGTTGACATAAGCATTATCTTAACTATTTGCTGGTGTGATGAGTGTGGTGTGCTTTCCTTGGTATGTTTTCAAAGTACATGTGCCTTTTTTCCCCATTTAAAAATGTGAAAAATAGAGGAAAGGTGGGGAAAAAACAAAAAGCATCTTCTGTGGACCCAGGTGTGGTATCTTAAAATATTGATACATATACTATACGTGTATATTTATACATGTATGCGTATACATGTATATCCATACACACACATATGTTCTTATGTGTGTCACATTTCTAAAATATAGCTTCCTAAAACTCTAGTATCTGACAATCTGACTTAGAAGAAATCTAATTCCTGTTAGTTTAATTTACCTTGAGTTAATTTTTACCTAAAATTTAGTTTTGTGCTTTTGCCTCGTTGATGACTGAATTATTTTCTAGTGTTCCAGTGTACAAATAGAATTGCTTAGTTTTTTTTATTGTCCTCAAACTTCTCACAGCCCCCTTCTCAAGAAATATCTGTGCTTGTATCCATACGCTTAGCAAAGATGCCCCAGTGATGAACCGCGTGGGGCAGGTGTGTGTGGGCCGGAGCACTGCGGCGCAGGAAACTGATCCCTTCCTGATGGGGGAGAGTGGTGTTAAGGCTGGAGCTGGTACTGCTGGGCAGTGCCAGATGCCCGGCGGGCTGCAGGGTTGCCGGCACACACACCGCCTCCACTGGGCTCTCCGAACCCCCGCGGTGACACGGGGCCGCCAAGTGAGCTCATGTCCCGTCTGTGGCGGAGCAGGAGGTGGAGCAGGCAGAGAGCAGGCCCTCTGGCGGGGCGAGAGGGGCCACCCCGTGCCGGAGCGGCGAGGTGGTGAAGGACCCTGTCAGTCGCTGGGCATCAAAGGCTGTTCTGTGGCGTGTTCCATGGAAGAGGCGAGATTGAGCCAGCTTTGAGCAATTCGTAAGTGCTCTGGCCCTCTCCTTGCCAGACGGGAAGCAGGCTTGGGAGTGAGGCCCGGGAGGCACTGGTGGCCCTCACCACCATGGCTGCCACATGCGTGCTTCACAGCTGCTCCGCGTGATGCAGAGCTGACGCGCCCTGTTGTGCGCATCGTGACTCCAGCTAGTGATGAAAACACAGCAGGCCTCGCAGAAGCTTCAGGTCTTGTTCCTTCCATTTCCTGGCGTCTTCAGAGGAGGTTTTTCACAGCTGCTCCTCACAGCACCTGCCGGTATCACCTCTCCCGGCCAACCCCTCCTTTCTGAGTCCGCCTTCCTTGCTTCTCCCTGGTTAGCCCTTGGCTAGAAGTTCATGCTTCTGCCCCTTCTCCACAGTAGCTGCCTGATGGCTACCACCTTTACTGAATTTAAATAGGCACTTCCCTGGGCAGGAGCTCCAGGAATGACTCACAGTCCGTCAGAGAAGTTTCGGCCCCTCAGCTCAGCCCCCAGAGGCCTCCCGTGGTCTGTGCACGGCCTGCCTTGCCAGCCGTCCCCCACATTGCTCTTCAGCCAAACAAAGTCGGGCGTCCAGCCCTCCGCCCCGCCCCCTTCCCTCTGTCCTTCTGCTTGAGCTGCTCCACTGTCCGGCACGTCCTTTCCATTGTCACTTGTCAAGGTCTTCCGTTCTTTAGAGTCAGTGATGCGTTTCACACGTGACCACCGCTTTGGTGGTTCACCGAGACAGGCCAGGAAGAACTCTCCGCGTCTTGTGGGTATTCAGTGACGGGCCTGACTTCCTAGATTCCTGTTGACCCTTCGTCAGCCCGCCTGTGGCTTGCTCCCTTTTGTGGAAGTGGACTCACAGTGTGCTTTATTTGTGTCTTCCACAAAGACTAGAGAAGAACATCTCAGCAGCCTGGCCAGCCAGGAGCTGTGTCTTGCACGTCGCCCATAAGTTATCAAGTTGACACCAAGAAAGCCGGTACTGTTGCTAAACCCCGGGGTTTTTCCTTACCTAGCAGCCTGGAACCCGGCATCGCATGGGTGTGGCACTGACACTGAGGGGAGACCACCACCCCACCCCGGACCCTGCAGAGCGCTGCGTCTGTCCCCCGCTGCAAGCTGATCTGTCTCCAGGCTGGTGGGCGGTGGCTGAGGCTCCGTCTGTGTGCCGGCCGTGACGACTTGTTTTTCTGTCAGGGTCCATCTCGTTTGGCCCCAGCAAACCCTGCACGGTGGATACTAGTCCAGTTTTACATTTCCCGTTTTACGGTAATTCCGTCCACAGATACATCTGAGTCCCTGCTGCATGCCAGGCACTGTTCCAGATGCTGGGGTGCGATAGTGAACAAAGCCAGGCCCTCCCCTTGTGGAGCTGGAGTTCTGTGGAGGAGACAGACGGCCGCTGAGTTAAAATAAAGCCGGCAAATGGAGAGCGAGGGGTGGGACTGTTTAAAGCTGGGGTCAAGAGGAGTCTCTCTGAGCAGGTGACTGAACGCACACAGTGCGCAACAGCGAGCGCTGAAGCAGAGACTTGGCAAACCCAGTGCCAGCCAGAGTGGCAGACAGCAGGGCAGGCGAGGTCACACACAGCTAAGAGGGGACGGGTCTCTATTAGGTTCTCAGCGTGCTGTGCACAGCGTTAGGTATTATCTCGTTAATCCCTACGACGATCTCACGAGGTCTTTGTCGTCTCCCCATTTCACAGATAGGAGGAAAGAAATTCAGAAAGGTGAACACACTTGTTCAGTGTCACACAACTTGGAAATAATGGAGCTAGGATTGAACTCAGGTCATTATTGTCCTCTAGGCTATATTGCCTTTCAATAGCAATGTAAGGAAGGTTACCCCAGGTACAGATGAAGAATCACTTCGGAAGATGGAGAAGGTGGGACTTGTCTGATTCCCCTATTTACATTCATAACTGAAAAGTTCTTACCTGATCTTCAAGGCTGGCTTCAGATGCCGCCACCTCCTAGAAGCCTTCCCTGGCTACTCCAGGACTCTTCTTCCTCGGAGTTCTCTAGCCCACCATATGTCTCACTATTGTGGATAGTCTTTAAATAGATGTAATGATTTTAGAAACCTTCTTGTCCACTAGACCCTGACCCCATCATAGGCAAAGACGTGTTTTATTTGTCGTTTATTGTCTGGGACATAGTGCTTAGTGATTGTCTTTAAATGAATTGGATGCCCGAGCAAGGTACGGGGAGGTGCTGGAACTTGGAGGAATGCACTCCACGCGTGGAAACAGGAGGAGGAAAGGCAGGGACCCCCCAGAGTGAGCAGTGACCTTGAGAGTTGTTGGACTCTCAGACGCTTGCTGTGAGCTGGTCACTGTGAACTGTTCTGGACGCACTCCTAGGTGGTTTTGGGTAAGGGGCATGGAGGCCAGCAAGCAGGAAGAATGGGGGTCTAGATGCCTTCAGACAGTTCTCAGCTCATGATGACAGGGTACCAGGCCCTCCTTCCAATCTCACTGTAGGAGGAAATGTAGTTATCAGATCATCTCCAGTAGGGGCACAGTTACAGTTGATGTTGAATACATGCAGAGTTTATCTCTGAAACCTAGACAAAATTTCTCTATAAAAATAAGTATAAGGTTAACAGATTTACAAAAATATCTAGCAGAATAGCGCATTTCCTTGGGCACATTTCTCTGAGGGCCTAGAGTAATTTTTTTTAGCCTCAGTGTAAGTTTTTAGGAAACGTGTAAGCACACGTTCTGGAGCTCAGTTAGAACTATAGTGGAGAGGCCGTTGCTTGTACTACAGACAAGGGGTCTGTAAGTGGTCAGAGAGAGGGGTGCCAGGATCGGGGCGGGGGGGGAGGCGTGCTTGAGCCACGTTCGTGTGGGTGAAGATACCCCAGGAATATAGGTATTTCTGAGGAAAATCAACGAACAAAGCTGAATTTTAAATATTTCAAAGGTTTAAACTTTGGTTTTTGTTTGGTTGGTTTTTGGGTTTCAGGGTTCTGTTTCGTTTTTTAATAACCAGGCCCTTAATCAAGCAGTAGGGCCTTAAGTGTAACAGAAACACAGGTAGCGCGTGACGGCCACTGCACTGTGCACATGGCTCTTGTCACACGTCTGGGTTGTAGTACTGGGACGGAGATCAGAAGGCGATTTTCTCTCTTGTGTGTCTGTCATGACAACCAGTGCAATGACCTCTTTCTTTCGTTAGAAATGTTTGGTTTGTTTGTGTCTGCTGAGCCCTTCGTTGATGATCAAATGCACCACTTTGTGATAATACTTTTTCAGTATAAATTTCAGTATAATTTTTCGTATAAATTTCAGTATAAATTTAAAAAAATGGTTTTTTACTCTATAACAGATTCTTCTGGTTTAGTTAATCATGCAACATCATTCCAGTTGTTTAAGATTACCTTTAGGTTTCTCAAGTTAGTGACTAAAAATTGTTCTGAACGAAAATAAACTTAGCAAAATAAATGTTACTTGCGTTAAGCTGCTTCATTACAAATTCTAAAGCAGTTACTTTAATTTTTTTTTTGAGATTGAAGTTTCATGTTTTATTTGTTGAAAGCAAGCGGTCATGTCAGCTAATCAGCTTCAACATACATAAATGCAATTCCCAA